ATGTAGCCCAGGGTGCCCCCTCGGGCCCCTGTGCATGTAGCCCAGGGTGCCCCCTCGGGCCCCTGTGCATGTAGCCCAGGGTGCCCCCTCGGGCCACTGTGCATGTAGCCCAGGGTGCCCCCTCGGGCCCCTGTGCATGATCTTTCTCTCACCTTGGCAATCACAGCTCCACTTTCTGTCTCAATGAGTTTGCCTTTTCTAGAAGTCTCATCGAATCTATCAAGCAGTGTGTGGTCCTTGGTGGTCCTTTCATGCACTTGGCATGATGCTTCTGAGGTCGTGCATGCGTATTTCTGAACAGCACTTCTCTGTGAGGATACACTGTGCATTGCTGTCCACTGGCCAGTGGTTAGACTCTTGATCTCTGACTTGGGCTATTGTTACTATAATTAGCATCGATGTGAGCATTCTGGAAGTGCCTGTGTGGACACGCCTAGGAGTGGAATTAGTTGTGAGGTCTTCGCTTAACTCTATAAGAAACTGCTAAGTTCTTTTCTGGTGACTATACTTTCCAGTGTTTCACTAGCAACCTAGGGGAGTTCCTGTTTTGTTTTGTTTTTTTAGATTTAAATTATAGGTGTTTTGCCTGCATGTGTGTCTGTGCACCACATATGAACCTGGTGCATGTGGAGGCCAAAAGAGAGTGTCAGATCCTCTGAAACCGGAGTCACAGATGACTGAGAATCAGCTGTGCAGATAGCTGACTACGTTATTTGAAACAGGAAGGCCCGCCCTGAATCTGGGTCATCCCGTGTTGTCTTCCCTGCATCTCTTCAGCTTTCCTGTCTCTTCAAAGGACATTCGCTATTGGATTTGGGGACCCACTCAAACCCAAGATGACTGTCCCAGGAACCTTACTGTACCCACTTAAGCAAAGCTCTGATTCCAGCCAAGCTCAGCTTGGACCCGTCTTTTGGAAAGATACTGTCCGTTCACATGCCTGAACACTTGGTCCCCAGCTGGTGGCACCTCTGGGATACGGGTCACCAGGGCCAGGCCTCTGAAGGTTCTCCCCATCTCCACTTCCAGTTTAACAGCCACTTCCTGACCAGCCAAGATGTGAATGCGTCCCACCCCAAGCTCCACTGCCATAGGCCGTGTTAACCTGTGCCTTCCCTGCCGAGATAGACCAAAATAAACCTCTCCCCATCCAGCTGTTTCTACCTGGTATTTGGTAGATGAGGAAAGCCACCGTGCACTATCCAGCCCAGTCCACCGGTTAACTGAGTTAACTACTTATCCAGCCCAGTATACCAGTTAACTAGGTTAACTGCACCCTGCGCATCCCCTTCCAGAACTGTCTTGAATCCACCGTCCTCTTTTGGACCCCACTGTCTCCCGCGTGGGTTATCCCTCCAGATGGCTGACTGGCTTGTCTGTCCCATTCCGACCCTCTTCACTCACGCTCTTTCGCGGCCGGAGTGACCTGGGACAGGTGAGTTTTCACGACCTCCTGAGCATTTGTTCCGAGTGGGCTCAAACGCTGACCACACAAACATGTGCTGTTTGTTCGGCAGCAGACACCACAGTGGGTCCCTGACTCGGCGGTCGGAGCATTGCCCTGGGATCTTCCTGGCTAAACAGGACTCAGCACCACCACCCTTCGCTCAAGCACACTGTGAGTTTGCTAAGAGATAATTCGCCTTGCAGGAGGAAACACTCACTTGGGGATGGCTTAGAGAGCTCATAGTCTCACCCCGCCTCTAGGTCACACACCCCGTCTCTGCTGCTCCTTGGTGATTGAAGATGTGACCTTCCCACTTCCTGCTCCGGCCACCCTCTGCCTCTCTGGACGCCCCTCCCTGGAACCACAAGCCCAAACTCTTCCTTACGCTGCTTCTGGGCATGCGCTGTACTGCCGCACAGAAGGGGAACCCGTGCGGAAGTGGGAACACTGAGCAGTGCTTGGGTTTGCTCCCCTCCGTGTCTTCATCATGATGGACTGAGGTGACATTAGGGGTTAAGTGTTGGAAACCCACATCATCATATGCAAGTTATAAGATCCTGAGCATTCCTCAAGGGACTTGGCCACCGACCCTAAGGCATATCATGTGTTTGCAGTTGTATGGCAAAGTTATATCACGCTAGAGGTGGGATTACGACCGGTTATTGTTGACATAAGGAGATGTGATTATGTGTCAAGCTGACAAGGTTTGGACTTGTGATGGCTAACATTGGCTGTCAACGTAACTGAAGTCCAATCTGCCTGACACTCACTCCTCAAGGGTTTTCAAGACTCACCCTGAGTCTGGGCCACACCTTCTGGTAGTAGCCGGTAAGAATACGTAGAAAAGGAACACTTTGGTTTTTGCCTGCTTGCCTTCACACTCGTTGGTGAGTTCACCTACCCTATTGCTGGGGCACTTCATCACCAATATCAGAACCAACTTCTTTGGGCTTCCAAAGTAAGCTGAAGACCAGCAGCTCTCCAGCAATTCTCCAGGCCCTCGGTGCCAGATCAGGGCTGACCTGAACAACTACCAGAATCTTGGCCTCTCCGGTGGGAGGCAGCCATTGCTGGACTGCCCGGACCACAACCTGTGAGCCAATCTAGTGAAACCCCTTTTACTGCATGTACTCTATCAGTTGTTCCCTAGAGAACCCTGGCCAGCACACTCCCCAGCTTCTCCCAGGGGGGCCCCACCTGCTGTCCTGGGGGCCTGCCCCTTCCTGCTGCCTGTCTTCATCCAGGACACGGTCAGAGAGGAAGCCGGTGACTCTTGGCCATGGATCTTCCTGTCCCTGGGACAATGGGCCTCTGCTAAACTTGGGCACTGGCCACACCTGCCGCAGGTGCAGAACAGGGCAATGCCGGAATCATCCGGGTTCAGAGCTGGCCATCCGGTCCCAGAGAGAACACCCTGGCACCACAGGCTTCCCATGTGCCCTGCGGAGGGCTACAGGCTTCCCAGAACCTGCATTTAAAAAGGCAAGTCCTTTGATTGGGACCTTTCTAACAAGCCACAGCCGGGCGGCGCTGCCTCTCGTGGGCACGGAGGACTCCCTCAGAACCTCTCATCAGTTCAAGAAGAGAAGCCTCCCACGTGCAGTGGGCTGTTTTGCTTGGGATTGCTCCGCAGTGTTTGGGGTGCAGCCTGGGCACACTGGGGCCGTGATGTGCAGGACAGAGCCCTGTTGTCACCCCATCCCCTCTGTGGCAGCCCCTTGAACTTGCCTCCTGAGAGTCAAGGCCGAGAGCAGCTCATGGACGGTGAGTAGTGAGAGCGGCAGCTCCGGGGCCCTGTTTACTTCGCATCAGTAACATAACAGGCGTCAGTGCGCACGCCCCGCCGCAGGGTGTATTTACCCGTGAAAATACAGCCGAGTTTACTCTCACCCGAAAGAGATGGAGAACTCTGGTTGTATCATTGGTGTCGTTCGTTTCTTCCGAATTGAGATTGGGCTGGTTTTAAAGCAACTGGCTGCCCATAGCTCTTAGCTGGGCAGGTTTCATTCTGTACTTGAATATATAACAGTATTCTAGCAATTTCCAGAAAGTTCCATGGGTTTATATATTCATTTTAAGTTTAAATAAATACTAATTAAAATTTACTGTATTCCTATAGGGCTGATTTGCTACTTAAAAAATAATAGTAGTTGTGAGATTTTTTTTTCGCCTTGTGGTCTCTCAAGGTCTCAAATTATTCTACCAGCAATGTAGAAATGCTTCCGAGAGCCAAAGTTATGAGATTCTAATCTCATTGGTCCTGGGCTTTGAGAAGTGTGGCTTGGAGACTCACATTTAAACAGTCCTTTCTGTAAAATGAGTAAGATTACCCACTCACTCTACCAAGGAACTCTGACTTTACACCAAACAAAACTTTGATGTCTTACAGCAGCCGAATGTCCAGGGGGTGGTATGAGAGCCGTGGGGTGGACCCCACACACTGAGGCGACACCAACAAAGTCACTCAGGGAATGTGACTTCTCTGGCTCCCTCAGCAGAGAAGAGTTTTGAGTTAAACAGCAGCTGAGATCCTAATCTTCTCATCAGAGCACATGATATCTTTACCCAGAGCCCGGGAGACCAGAAAAGCCAACTTGTACTCTTTCCTTTTTAAAATTAAATTCTTTTTGAAAATAAGTTCACATTGTAGAACACAAAACACGCAAAAGAGTGCACTGTGGAAGTCCATCTCCTGCCCCCAGCTCCCTTCTCTAGGGCAACCAGCGCCACTCACTTCTTGTATATTCTCCCACGGTGATATCAGACTACTGTGGCTTGGAGAAGTGGGCATCAGTGCTGCTGGGAGCGGGTGGAACCTAGCAGAAGGACGTTAGGTCATTGGAGGAGTGACCTCGAAGGGGACTCTGGGAATCCAGCACCCCTTCTTCTTCTTGGCCGCCATAGAAAGCCCCTTCCTCCAGCACACACCCCTGAACGGCTGGCTGCTCCGTCACAGACACAGACGCGATGGAGCCAAGGGACCATGGGTGAAACCTCTGAGACCAAAGGACCTTTCCTTTTCATAAATTCGTTTTCCTCAGGCATTTGTTACAGGGAAGGGAATCTGGTTAAGTGCATATGCTCATTAACTCAAGGCAAATCAATGTACCCACAGGTTTTTACACTATGTTTTAGCTTATTTTTCACGGATTACTGTTTAGATCCAAAAACCTCTTCATGGCTCCTCTGCATGGAAATTCCACATGCATGTCACCCTCACTTGGTGGCTGTAATGACTCACTTAAGTTATTCAGGAGTTCTTCACTATCCTTGGAGGACTGGCTCCAGGGTTCCCACAGATGAGAGACTCTATGAAAGCTTAAGTCATTGATGTATAATATAAACTTTAAAAACACCCTGTGCACATTCCTCTGGGTGTTTCAGTCAT